ATTGAATTTGCTTTGTGGAACCCATTAACGCTAAACTGAATAATGACGCTATTCTAGAATCAGTTTCTAGTAAATTCTCTGCACACGGGACTCTAGGAAGCCTGTATCCCTCCACAACAGAATTTTAAGTCAGTTCATAAATGAAAAGGTTTTCTCAATTTACCTAAAAGGTATTAGTAATTAACTGACATCAAGAGACTACTGCTGGCTGAGGTGGTGAAGAGCAAATGGGAACTCCAGCGAGGGAGGACATTCATCATGTGGTTTAAATGAGAAGGTAGAAAACTCGAATGGCTTATCAGTACCTCCTTGGTACTCTGGCTTAACGCTGTGGTTAAAATAGGTTATGATGACTTATAATTAATTTTTATTTTTTCCTTGGCTTCATCGGATGACCAAAGCCAGATGAATAGCTTATGGAAAATCTAGATAAATAGCCGGACACGTGCATATATGCAAATCAGAGGTCATTCTTTTAGAAGTCTTTTGAGAAATTACGAAGTCATTAATATTGCGTGGCAGACTTTCTTGTCTAAGATGAAGGGGCTGAGGAACCAGAAATATTGGCAGGCAGAGGGGAGCTCAAGACATGTGCCCTGTTAGAGGGCCTGGGCATTTTTATATGATGAAAATTGATGACTCTGAAGTATGGCAACTTTGGAAAGACTAAGTGAGGGAATGAGAGTGGAATGGGGTGTCCCTAGTGCCTTGGTGGATAGTGTTAACAGGAGACTATCTGATGCAGTGGAGGGTGCTCGCTGACAAGAAATCTTTGCTCGCCTTGGCCTGAGCTGCCTCTGTGAACTTGAACAACACACTCAAACCTCTCTAAGTCCCTTCAGGCCCCACATCTAGAATTTGATGCATTTCCCAGACTGGGGTGCTGGAATGAGCTTGCTGCTCTCAGAGAAAGTGAGACAGAATCTGGGTATTTGTTGAAAAGTTTAAGAGCTGAGTGGCCCTTCAGGGCCTCGGGGTGGGGTAGGGTGGGGGTGGGTGGCTCCACTCTGCAGGAGCTCAACATCCCCAAGGGGGAGGGTGGGCGCAGTTCTCTGCATTAGAGCGAGAGAGCTGCTGTGAGCCCTGCCCAGGGGATTGGGGTGGGGGGTTTGCCCCAGACAGAACAGGATGCGGATCACTGCCTTCCCTGCTTCCCTTTTTGGAATCCTCCATTTCAAAAGCACCTCAGCTGATTTGCTGTTCAGCAGGCGAGAGCAATAGCTTCATCTGGGAGCCGACCAAGATAAAAGAAAGAAAAGACCGGTGAGCAGAGGCCAGGGGGCATGCTTAGTCTGTGCACCACAGGCAGGATGCTCTCCTCTTTGAAGGTGCTTGAGGGCTGCTGTTTATAATCAGGTGCTGTGCTGATGTCCGGGTCCACATGCAAGTATCAGGTAACGAGTGATGAATGTGAACAGGTGAACGGGAATTTCACAGATGTGCCAGCAGCGTACCCCAGACCCAGAAAATTCTTTCCCAGGATACGATTTTTACCTACAGTGCTTCCCTTTGCATTTGTTCACACATGGCTTTTAAGGAGAGGCGTGGGGAAAACGAAAGTCGGGATCCACATGGGATTTTCTGGATTTCCCCGGTTGGAGCCCGTTAAACTCTAATTTGAGGAGGAAAAAAAAAAATAGACCCGTTTGCCAAGCGGAGTGACCTGATTCTTGTTGGATCAACATGTTGTCACTACAAAGCAAGTGTGATGAAGCCCGCCTTTTCAGACTAAAATCAAAGCCCTGCCTTCCAGCCTGGAATTGCTGACCTAAGCATCCCCCCCATCAGCCGGGCTGTATGTAGATTTAGATATCTCCAGGAGGCTGGGAGCCTATCAGGCCTAAACTGATTATTCTAATCAAGTGTTTTAATTAAGCACTTATTGCCAGGATCGCAGGAACAAGGCCTGTTTTCAAGCAGTAATGGGCAGTAGTTTTTTTTTTTTTTTCTTCTTCTTCTTTACGGGGATAATGTTTGGCTTTGTGGGGGTGTATTTAACGTTTTTCTAAAGTAGGCCATGGGAGGAGTCCCCTGTGAAGTGCACAATGCTGAGCTGGCAGTCTGGCCAATGGACACAAAAATTAAAAAAAAAAAAATTACCAACTGGGTTGCAGATGAATCAGTACCCCCAACAAGGCATCTGTTTTGCATCCTTTGCCCTAAAACAAATGCTGGCTAGTCCACGATTTAAAAAAAATATAAACACGCACACATTGGGTTGGCTTTTATTGGAATGCCTAGATGCAATCTATAGTCAAGTTATGGAAAATTCAGGTCACATAGAAAGTTAAGAAGGCAAATGAAAAGAACAATACAAATCAGACAAAATTTACATCTCAAAATATCATGAAAGCATTTTTGACTGGCTTTGCCTAAAATACTTTGAATATCAATTTTTTTTTTGTAAGCGAATTCTTTCCATTATACAGTCCCCCACCCCCCAACTCTTAGAAAAAGGTCTTTTGTTTACATATTTCCCCAAGGTCACTATTTCTTGTAAAAGCATGTCCAGATCACAAGTCTTTTTAGAAAGAAATAGGCTCATTATACCTACTAACAAGACACTAATTGGGTTGATTTGACCTCATCTAAAATAAGCACCAAGAGATATTCCCAATCTGTTATTTATCGGTGCCAACCTAAAGGACCAGTCCATGTCGAGAAGAGGGTAAGATTATGATTTCACTTCTGTCATGTGGTACAAGCTTTTCATGGTCAATACATCAGAAACATTTCTGAGAATTTAGACTCAGAGCCTATTTCAACCAAAAGTACTTAACAGCATGCTAAACACAGTCCTGCAGAAATTCCATCGAACAGAACTGCAAACACCTAAGTTAACAGTTAAAAAATAAAATCTAAGACGGAGCCATGTTTATGTGGTTTGAGATCTCATAGTTTTCTAAATTGGGGCTTCGTAATACTTGCCAAAGGATTTCCAGGATAAAAAATATTAATGCTAATCTGTGCTTTCATTCTAATAAAATATCAGCATTCATTAGAAGATTAATTACTTCGGTATGCTCTACCAAATACACAAAGACAGTAATAGCACTGATACTGTAAATTCAGTAGCTATTTTGAAACTTTCCCAGCCAATCTGTTTAATAAACACACCTACTGTGCAATTTAGAGTATGTGATACATACAAAGCAGTTAGAAAATTATTTTCAATACATCACTTGAACCTTTATATTTACGACATGTTCACTTGCTATATTTTATCACCATTATACATAGAGGAAAACAGTGTGTACTATAGCTCAATGAACTGAGAAATATTTTTCTAAAAATATTTTTGTGGCTGAATTTAGTGCTCATGAAAAGAGATTTATTTGCCAGAGCGGCTGGGCCGACCCGGGAGTGCACATGGCCGCTGTGCCCGGGCCCGCTCGCCACGCGTTCAGGAGGGCACAGCTGCCATTTCACTTCCAGCTGGATCGGCCACCCACCTCCCCTCCCCGGCTTCCCCCAGACAGAGCAGAGGCTCCCATTCAAACCAGCTCCCAGGACCGGTGGGTCGTGTGGCCTTACAGGAGCTTTTGTCTCCCTTTTGTGTCCCCCTTGGTGACCTGGCGGTCCAAACCCAAAACTAGCAGAGGGACCCTGACCTTCCCCATCGGGCCGGCTCCCCGCTGCTCGAGTTCTGCTGTCTTTCCTAGATCTTAAGACATGTTTACGGTCATGACTACATCAGATCCTTTCCTTCTCACGCACATTTCCCCGGAGCATCTGATGTGGTCTCTCGCCTCCATCGTGAAATGGAGCTTCGAGGAATGGTTAACAGTAAAAACCCTGTGGTTAATTCTATCAACTCCCCTCGACTTTTAGGGACGAGAGAGGACCTCTCCGGCCCAGTTTTTTTTTTTTTTTCATATCTTCTGCTACGTTCCACCAGCCTTAGTTTTCTACTGTGCCTCTTAGTTGATAATGGTTGAGGACACTGGCCTGATGAGAAAGAGAAGAAAGGGAAAGGAGCAGTTCTCCGATTAGCCACCCACTTAGGATTGCACTGTCCTATCCATCTAGTGATAGAAAGTTGCACATTTTTTTTCAACCTAATACAAAAATATTAACACTTCTGGACATTATAGGCATAAGTCGTTATATCTCTACAATATAATAATTTATACTGTACAGTATAACAGATAACAAAAGGTGCAATCCTTTTAAAAAAATCACACAGTTCACATGTTTTTATCATTTTATTTTTAAGTATAAACTTTTTAAACACTTTACATAAATTAACTCCTCTGAGACTAATTATTTGATGTACAGTAAATTGTAATTCATATAAAAATCCATAAACAACTTGTCTCACATAATTTACAAAAAAATCAGGGTTTCCTTTGCTTATCAGTGACAAGGATTCTATTTGCCAGTTTTTTTCCCCCCCAAGGCAAACCACGTTAGCGCTGTAAAATCCATTATGAAATCCCCGCCAGGGCAGAAGTCACGTGTGCCAATGTCCTTTTACAAAGTAGCACAGGGAAAGCAGTTGGGATGTCTATAAACAGTAATTTTGCCCCACATTTTAAAATTAACAGAGATAGATATCACATCCTATGCAGAGAGACTACTTCTTGTAAGCAAAGGTCGACAATTCGGTAATATCTGGAAACACTGTATGCATTTTTTACCTTAGTTAAATACAGTGCCTCGAAGGAACGGATGGCCTCGCGCAAACTGTTTTGGCCTTTTTTTTTTTTTTTCCTTTCTTTCACTTATTGATTTTTCCTTTTAATACTTTCAGTCCGACTGAGTGCAGCGATACGCATATGTAAACATATTCTTTAAAGCCGATCACCTTTAAGGTCCCTCAGAAAAAAGTGTGGTTTTCGTTTTTTTTGTGTGTGTGTGGATTTTCTTTTACTTTCTTTCTTTTTTTTTTTTTTTAATAGCAGTCCATTCTCCCGGAAGGCTCTTCTGTGTCGGAGAGTCCGATTCGGATTGTGCTACAGAAAAATCCGAGCAGGGGGGGTGTGGTTGAGGCTCGAGAGAGACGCAGCGCCCCTCCCCCGGCTGGGTCCGCCTCCCAGCGCCGGGTGGCCGCCGTCCGTCCGCCGCAGCCGGCCCGGGGGGTTACCTCTTGCCGATCTCGCTTTGTCGGAGGAACTGGATGTTGTTGGCGCTGTCGGCCAGCTCCGGGTACTGCTCCACCGAGAGTACGTAGTACCCGTCGTAGCCCTGCACCTTGCCGGCGCTCAGCAGCTGCCGCTTCTCGCCCTCCGTCCAGAGGCGCGCGCCCTCCTCGCCGTCGCGCACGCGCTGCTGCTCGCGCGCCCAGGCCCGGGCGAGCGCGCGCTGCCGCGCCTGCTCCAGGATGCGCGCCTTCTCCTCGTCCAGCGTCATGCCGTAGCGCACGTGCAGCGCCAGCGCGCCGAACTGCATCTCCACGTCGGCGAACCTGCGCGTCCTGCCGTTGACCACGGTGGTGGACTGCGACACGGTCACGTTGATGCCGTTCTCCAGGGCCTTGCGGCCGCTCGTCAGCCGCAGCGTGCCCAGGTCGCTCTCGGGCGTGGTGGTCTTGATGAAGTAGTGCGTGTCCTTGCCCTCGATGGTGAAGTGCAGGTTCTCCAGGTAGAAGGCGTTGTTGAGCACGGCCGCCACCTTGATGCAGTCCTCGTTGGCGATGTTGAGCACGTTGGTCTGCACGCGGCCCTGGCTCACGGCCAGCATGACGCCCTTGCCGATCAGCGACTTGACCGTGGCGAACCACAGCCACGAGGGCGCGCCGCTGCCCTTGCGCCTGCTCACCTGCACCTCCGCCATTTTCCCCAGGGACAGGAAGGCCTTGGCCTGCCTGGCCACTTGTTGCTGAACTCCAAAAATGGGCTGAAAAGCGAAACAGAAAGAGGGGGAGGACGGTTTAGAGAACATCTGCAGCTCTTGGTTGCCGGGGAGCCAGGCTTCCTGGCAACGCGCCCAGTCCTGACAACAACCCAAAAAAGAGGAGGGTGGGGGCCCTTCTGTGGAGAGCTCCCAGGCATTTATTAAAACCTCAGTGGGTTCTCTAGATGAAAAGGCTTAAAAACACAACAAAACAAACAACTCTGGATAGAGGAAGGCACTCAGAGGTCTCCTCCCCTCAAGTTGATCCAAATGAGTTTTGAAACGTAAAAGGAGGTGACTCCATCATGTATTAGTTAAGAGCTTTTCAGTTTGTGATGTGGGCAAAATAATGGTTGTAGCTTTTCTCTTTCGGTTTCTGGACGCCCCTTTCCCACGCTCATCCCATTTGGGGAACCCCGTTTCTCAGGGTCACTGCGGCTTTCTCCATGGGAACCCGGAGAGGAAGGAGCCAACACAGGCTGAGGGTTTGAAAGGCTGGGGGTGGGGGTACTCAGCACGGGACCACCGTGTCCTACTTTATATGCTTTGAAATTCCTGTGCTTTAATTTAGGTGAACTCTGTCCTCTGTCCCGGCGAACACAGTTTCTACCCAAATTTCGCCACTGTTACCGGTAGCACAAGTGAAATGTATAGAGCTGAGTGCACAGCGGGACGGCTGGAGGTATTTATCACTTTAGGAAAACGTTTACTTTTTTGGAGACTTAGGGACGGTGGACCATCTATGCTGGCAAGCGTTTTAAATTGGGGGCATCTGATTTGCAACGACGTGGATGGAACTGGAGGGTGTTATGCTGAGTGAAATAAGTCAATCAGAGAAAGACATGTATCACATGACCTCACTGATATGAGGAATTCTTAATCTCAGGAAACAAACTGAGTGTTACTGGAGTGGTTGGGGGTGGGAGGGATGGGGTGGCTGGGTGATAGACATTGGGGAGGGTATGTGCTACGGTGAGCGCTGTGAATTGTGCAAGACTGTTGAATCACAGATCTGTACTTCTGAAACAAATAACGCAACATATTTTAAGAAAAAAGGAAAAGAAGAAGATAACAGGAGAGGAAGAAAAGGGGAGTATGTCAGAGGGGGAGACGAACCATGAGAGATGATGGACTCTGAAAAACAAACTGAGGGTTCTAGAGGGTAGGGGGGTGGGGGGATGGGTTAGCCTGGTGATGGGTATTGAGGAGGGCACGTTCTGCATGGAGCACTGGGTGTTATGAACAAACAATGAATCATGGAACACTGCACCAAAAACTAATGATGTAATATATGGTGATTAACATAACAATAAAAAAATTAAAAAAAAATTGGGGGCATCTGAACTCAGCCATTTCTTCTCCTGCCAGATGTTTGCCTGGCCAGTGTTTCCCCAAAAACATCTGTTTCATCTGCAGCAGTGAAAGAAACATTTGTTTTTCGGCGCTTGGGGCAGCCTCCAGTGTCTTTGCTGGGGATTCCCTAAACTGTCCTTATGGTGCGCTCCTCTTTGACAGAGGACTCGAACCACATTTAGGAGGCTGCCTAGGAAAAAAGTTGGCAAGTTCATTTGTACAGTAGGACTTAAGTGTTCGCAGACATGTTGGGAAGTTAGACACAGCAAGGACATGCCTATTCAAATGCATTGGGAAACTTCAGTGTGTCTTCGTGACACTTTATCACTGTAGATGTATTTGCAATTCGAAATGTTAAAATGGCTCCCAGACCTTGGAAACTTGATGGGTTTTGCTTCTTAAATGGAAAGGTGACATCTTGAAGAAGGAACTGTTTTATGTGAGGTATGAAACCTATACCAGAAAACAGAGGTATTGGCACTGAATATACTGTGTGTGTGTTGTGTGTGTGTGTTTCAGCCATGATTGCCTTTTCTCTTTGTATTCACTGAAATTATAGGAAATTGCTCGGGGGGGGGGAATTAATCTAAGAAACTCTGCCTTCTCTTATCATTATGGGGTAACCCAATTTCTTGATCTTTAATTATTCTTGCTTTAAGCTAGAAATTCTAGTGTTTCGTTGTACATTCCTTTCTGATCTCTCAATGGCAGGAATTAAAAGGGCCATTTTCTGAAATGGCAGCTTTGACTTTGCAATTTTCCGTTCTTTTTCTTTTATTTTAGTTCTCAGAACAATTATAGGCCTCCTGAAATGTTATTTTCGGGAAAATTCTATAAACACCTAGTTGCAGATGGGGCTTTATCAGAGGACATTTTATTTTTATTTTCAATCTGTTCCCATTAAACACTGTTCAGATTTTAAAGAAGTTGAACTTTGCAGCATTGTTTGTGGGCTGCTAATTTGTAATACGAATCCCCTGCCCTCCCATTTATAGTATCTTTGCCTTAAGGTCCCAAGTGCTATAAATGTGCTTTCACGGGGGTTCTCTGTAGAAAGCTTGCGCTAAAAAATGAGCTCCCTCATTTTATTACCTTCTGATAATGTCTTTTTATGTTTTTATTAGCATCACTAAAAACAAATTCAAGGCTGTTTAACAGGCCCCTGGTTTGCTGCACAGAAATGTGATGTTTTTCTACCCTAAAAGAGTCAAAAAAATATTAAAAACCGGTCTGTGGTCCAGCTTTCACAAGGGCAGTTTGATTAAATGGGTAAATATGACACAGGTAAGCCATCTGTCACCCTTTCACAGTTTTACTTTTTGTTCTTACCGGTATATCATCCCACTGCTGACTCTTCACAAGTTCATAAGAAGGCTCGGTTAAATCAAATTTGGGAACAGGGAATCCAGGAATAGCATTGTGCAGATGGAAACCGAATGTCACCAGCCAGCTGTTAACATCTAAGAGAATGTTCAAAATGAACGGTGTTAGAGTTATTTTATGCTTTCATACATTTAAATTCTTACCTTTAAGAAACCCCCAAATTCACAAACAGTAACCCGAAGAGGAGTCCATGCTTGCCTTCATTCTCCAATTCAGACCCCATTCCCTATTCGCGGACTTGAAGCCGCTAGCCTCCATAATGGAGCTATGGCAAGGGCTATGGAAAACACAGTCCGATAGCTGCTCACTGAGACTGCATAAACTGTCACACGTGCGGGGGTGCATCCTGTGCTAAAAGTAAGTGGTAAACAGGGGTAATAACAATGCACAGCAGCATGAAAGAGCCACAGTTGAGGTAAACAAAGGGAATTGGTAGTCAAGACTGGTCTTAAATAGAAGTTGTGTGTTATTAGCTTTCAAAAGTGATTGCCCAAGGATATGCAGCTTCCACAACCCATTTTCTATTAATAAAAACCCTAAATTGAGAGAATTAAAATCAAGAGTTGATTCTTAATCAAAGATTAATGCTGAAAACTGGCAGAACTGGCCAAGGGCACAAAAGTTCTGATTACCATCAGCTATGACTTCAAAGGCTCACTTGTGCACAGGTGGGGGCGAACTTTTTGGGGAGAGAACCTGGAAACCTTTAAAATGGTATTTTAAAATATTGCCATGTGACTCCAAAAGCCATTAAGCGCAGAATAAGGCTTTTATTCTATTCTGGAGGTTATAATGTTACAGAACGACTCAGCAGGCTTGCAGCTTTATGAGTACAGTTGGGTGTAGATTATTTTATATATTAAGCACATTGCTGGAAAATTTGAAATTGCATTTCACCTCATATATTTTATGCTGTTCCATCTCTCTTTTGATGTTTTTCAGAAACTGCTGCTATGGCATTCCCTGCAGTCCACACTGCTAGGGAAGGATGGATTCAGGAGCTGTGGGCTTTCCCACCTTTCAGGCAGCCCTGTCAACACCTCTTAAATAACCAGTGGTAAACTGCTTGTCAGAATGATGGAGAGCCACTTGCTTCCTATTTCCTCCTCTAGGGCACAAACTTCACCTCATCACCAGGCTGGCAGGTCCTTTGTCCAAACGTCATATGGCTATAGAAGCAATGGTATTCTCCCTTTTTAAAAGGAGGGGTGGTGGTGGTGGTGGTGGGAGAGAGAAATCCCAAGTTCATCACATAGAATAGAGAGCGATACTTTTTTGGGGTGTGCATGTGTGTGTGTGTGAGTACATAAGAGATTACGGAGGGTCTTATGTTTTGGAGAAAATTCTCCTGAATGGCAGTGTCGGGGGCAAAGGTTCTCCTACTATGAACAATGTCTGTGTAATAGTAAAAGAATAAAAAGATCACAGGGTCTTAAGTATTGAAAAGCATTGCCAAAATAACGGGACTCAGATGCCGATGTGTATTGAGTAAGCTGAAGGAGAACACCATGAGGGTGTTGCTGAACCAGGATTGTGAAAGAAGCAAGTTTCAGCTGGTTCACGTGGAGGAGAGCTATGACAAGCTTTTGGCAGTCTGGGAAAGCAGGAAGCAGATGTGAAATGAACAGGGGGCAGCGTTTTGAGAGTTGTACCAAGAACTGAGAAAACAGGCATTTCACTATGCCTCAAATATTGAGTAAGAAAAGAGACAGCTTGAAGGAGGCCCTAACACAAGCCAAAACAAAACAGAGAACCCCAAACCAAACCAAAAACAACAACAAAAAAGAAAACAGGAAAGAACCTTCCTCCAGGAAGCATACATGTGGTAGAGAGGTTCATGTGGTAGTGTAATTCAGGAAAGGAAGGTGGGGGCAGAAGGATTCAGAATCCATGCAGTGGAGGATGAGTGGAGAAGTCAGAAACTGAAGTGAGCCAGAGCAGTGCTTGCAAAGACTGTGTCTCTCTCATCCTGGTGGTTTTGTGGTGGCAGAAGTGGGATGAGATGTTTCAATCAGATCATGCCCGAAACCTGGAAAGATCTTACTATCCCCTACTGGCAGAAAAATTTGTGTGTGTCTATTAGTAGTGCAACCATGCACGGACTGCCTCAAATAGCACAAAGACAGTAGTGAAAACAGAAACAGGATCCGCTGACTGAGCAGGTGGTGGGAGAAACTGTTCCTTTATTGTCCTGAGGTGATGGTGGTGGAGAGTTTAACATCCCGGGAATGAGATGGTGAATCGCACTTTGCCGTGTTTCACGATTCCTCCATTAGAACTTCACACGCGTATAAAAGAAAAACCAATGTTACACATTTGTAAGGGAGTTAGTAATTAAAGCAGAATTGCACATATTTTATACCATTAAGGGAGGCATTATTCTCCCCATTTCACGGTTAAGGGAACAGATTAAAAAAAAAAATTGTGACTTGTCTCTAAAGCCACATGACTTACAGGAGAGGGGTTGGGATCGGAGTTCCAATTTGGGGACTCCCAAGTTCATCCTGTTTTCCACACCCCCATGTTACCTCCCTTCCTTAAGTGACTGGATTCCATGTCATTTCAGAAACTTGTGGCCTTGGGCATTGGAGACAGAATAGGAAGTAACAAACTATGCCTCAGTTTCCCTTTCTGGTTTCTCTATGGTTCCATAGAGAAATAAACACATTTAAAAGGCTAGGCATTTGATTTTGCAAGAGTAAAGTGTAAGGCTAAAGAAAGCAACTCCCATTATTGTGTGTACTCATATAAGGATTAAAGTAATTCAGCATTTGGAAAGGAAAAAAAAAACCCAAAACCTGCTTACCTGTGATGTAATCTTTCACATCATGGATTTTGCTTGCGGGATTGTTATTCCTAAACATATAGAGGTTAAAAGGAGCTGGGTCCTTCCCAATTCTTTTCCAGATTTCTATGTCAGGTGTTGTCCATCGTCCTGCCAAAATATCATAATCTCTTTCTCCAAAGTGGATTAATTTCGTGAGTGGGTCATATAAGCCACCATGAAATCCAATTACCAGTTGAAAGTCAACATTGGAGTCAAAATAGATTTCACCGTATGCAGTATACTGAATCTGTTTTAGCATAAGCCCATTGCTACTGAAGACAGCCAACGGTGTCCCTGTGTTATCTGACGCAATGTAGAATTCATCCCCACTGCTGATTTCCATGGCAAAGAGATGTCCCTGGAGATCATAATAGAGAGAAGTAATTTCTGAACTCGAATGGTTGTACACATGAGTAATCCTCGTGGGATAAGTTAAGTCAGCATAAAAAAACTGCAGGTGCTGTCCCAGACTGGTTTTGCTAGATACGCGCCTTCCCAGGCCGTCGTACCGATAAATCACTGTCCAGCCACTGCCCTTACTGTAAACCCGAGTCAGAAGCCCCTTGGAGCTGTACTCGAAGATCTCTGTGCCTCTTTGACGCAGAAACCCATCTTCATCCAACCGATACTGAACATCCCCGAGGCGGGTGATCCTGTCTCGCAGGTCATAGCGAAGAGGTGTCAGACGGGCACTGTTACTCGGGTTCAGTAAATGGAGGTTTCCATTCAGGTCATAGTTGTAACGCCACATGATCTTTTCATTTAGATAAACTGTTTGGAGCTGTCCATCAACATCATATTCGTAACCATATTTAGTTGTGTTGGCAAAGGGCCCTATTTTGATTTCTCTTTTGGTTACCCGGCCCATGTTATCATACTGAATTGTAATCCAGTACATGAGTGACCTGAATATCTCATACTGAATTTCCTTGATGCGGCCATGGGCATCAAAGTGCTTCGTATAAGTCATTACAGCTGTGGAAATGATCTGGTTAATATCATAATATATAACTCCAAATTTTCCAAACTGTTCAACTTTGCCAGAAATGTCATCAAACTGATAGAGATCAATGGGCAGTGGCGTTTCATTGATGACACCCTGCATGCTGGTCACTCGAAAGCTGTTGTCATAGCTATAGTCAAATCTCGCATTTACCATCCCATCCTCACTAAAGCGGAAAATCTGTCTGTCAATCAGGGGGCCAATTTGCCTGTATCTAATGGTGCAAATAAAACCATCGCTCTGGAGGTTTACCGTTTTGAGGACTCCCGCTGTTTCGTCATAGGTAAAACTGACTCTTGTGCTATCATATAGAATCTCGGAGAGCCTGGTCTGCCTTCTGTACTTGAACAAGACCCTCCGGCTGGTCCCCAAGAAGGCCGTCTGCAGAAGCAGCCCCTCTTCATTGTAGTCCGTGATGACAGAGGCGTTGCTCTCGGGGGGGTTGTAAATGTTGCGGTAGTAGCCGATGGACCGGATGGTCTGCATGGTGTGGCGAGCCACACTGGGCATGGTGATGGCAGACAGCCGGTCCCACATGTCGTATTCGAAGATGTACTGCCTCTGGCTGTGAAGCAGGAGGACCATGGACTGGAAAGAGAACAGACTGTTGTTCAATATGTGGGGGGGGGGGGGGGGGGGGGGGGGGGGGGGGGGGGGGGGCAAAAGTAGATCCAGTGACCACACGTATACAGAAACATTTTGCTTGAGAAAATTATTTTCGTTTTAATTGAGTTATCCTTGACCTTACATGTTAACGATTCCCTGCCTAATTTGCTTGGATGCTTCATTGTGAGGGGTTCTGCAGTTAGTGGCTCAAGATTCATAATGTGCCACTTGTCATGATTGTACCATTCTTTTTCTAGGCATTCACAGCCAAGCAGCAGATTGTCGATGGATGTGGGTAAGTCATGATACAGGCACGGGCAAAGCTGCTTTAAAGACAATATTTCAAGGAGAAAACAGCATATGGGAAAAGCAATCCTATCCATAATTAGCAATTATTTAGGAAGGTGGCTTTTCCCCCTCATTTGACTGAAGAGCCACTCAAATCATGTTTTAATTTCCAGTGCATGTGGGGGAGGAGCAAAGCATTCAAAATACTACTTTATGAAGACGAGACATAAAATTAGTCAAAAATGGATAATGTGTGTATAAAGCATCAACGTCAACAAACATTGCTAAATCACACGGTGAATGAGAGTTGTAAAGGCCCTTAATTGAAATATGGATCCAGGTATGGGTTTTGTTTGTTTGTTTGCAAATTCTTACCTGTCATCTGGAATGACAATAAAATCTACATTTTGACATTTCCTTTAGCGAGTACCAAGTCTGATTTGTGTCTCAGCTGCTGTAAGAAGGTTTCTGGGCTACGTTCTACTTTGGTGCTAAATAACGCGGTGAATAAATATATAAATTAAAATGAGTTCTGCTTATTTTGCAAGTAATTGCAGAAAGACACAAGACAATCATTTATTAGGCCAGCATGAGAAGCTCAACCCTGAGGCTCAATAGTGAATAATACAGCTCAATAGTAATACAGAGCATGGGTGATTCTCTCCTATGAGGAAGCTTCTCCCAAACCCTGTTAGACCAAACGCAGTGATGGCAGATCAGGAAGGATGCGTGTGTTAGGTGCCCTCCTGGGACGTATGCTTTGCTTTTGCCAAAGAAACACATAATCCCTTGTCCAAGGCTCGTTCCCTTTCTCTTTACCGTCCACCATCTTTGAAAGCAGCCTGCAAGCCAGGTTCTGCAGTTTCCTCTGTGGGCATATCTAGGGGCAGTCTTTGTCTGCTGGCTGTGTAGGAGATGTCTTGTGAATTGTTCCTAATAGTTTGCACTGTGCCAAGGAAGGCTTGGATTATTGCTGAATTCACGGGAATTAGTACCTAGTTGTGTAGTCATTTAAAATCACATCTGATGATAATAAAATATTACTACTTCTGCTATGAACAGGTTTTGGTTTAGTGTGCCTATCCTAGCAAGGAAATGGAAATGGTTTGGTGGATTTTAGGGATTTGGGAGAGATGATGAAAATACTGGCTTTTCTCATCCCCACTGATATATGAATGTGACCTCAGTTACTGCTGGTAGTGGCTCTTATTAATGACATGCTCTTTGTCTCCTTTTAAACAATTTCCCATGACATTATGATCACTACTGTCAGTTTTTAAGGTCTTGGTATTTGTTACACTTCTCTGTAATGCACTTAATTTACATTGGGAAAAGTGTTCCAGGATGAAGTGGGGACCCACTCCCAGTTTCTTTGGGAGGAAGTTGTCTTGGGGCTTGTTAGGTTGGAGGGTGAAGTGTTTTCCGGGCATGAGGACTTGCTCCCAGGAAGGGATGTGTGTAGGAGGGCTTCCTCTGTGGTCTCTCATCAAATCACCAGTAGAGTAACTGTCGACTGTGATGATTAGTGTGGAGGGGAACTGTCACCCAGTGGGCTGGTCCACTGTCTCAAGGGTTGAGTCTCTTCGAAGGAGAGCAGATGAGCAGGTTTGTGAGAGAAGAGACTGGCAAGTAGGGGAAGCATTTCAGAGTTGGGAGGCATCCGTGGTGAGCTCTGAACCTGACGCTGGTTCTCTGGAAGGCTAGACCGTGTCGAGGCCGTCTAGATGTAGACGGGATGACTGCCAGGCAGTGGGGCGAGATGTAGACTGAGGAGTTGTGCAGAAGGCCTCTCGTGAAGAACAAGACAGTGTGAGGTGAGTGAGGACGACAGTGTGAGTGACAGTGGCGCGGACTTGTGTTCTGGGTGACAGGTCACTCTGACCGATGCACGTAAGGCTGGAGGCAGTAACTGCTGTGTTTGTAACTTGGGTTGCTGCCTGCCTGGTGGTGGCATGCTCTGAGGTGCGACAGGCACTGGGGCTCAAAACAGAACCCCTCCCTAGGGCTGATGCTTGTCTCAAGGGCAAATGAAACGTTCCACGAATATGCTCTTTGGCGGGTTCTGTTTTTTTCAGAAGGGAAGTGCAGGGAGGTGGCCGGTTCCCTGTCCCTTTTCTGTTGCTTTCATCCCTCGGGACCACAGTCACCATCCCAAACCTCCCAGAGTACGACCAAGGATTTTGCACACGGGTAACTTTAAGGTATCGTGCCTAGTGCTTAAGGATGGGGGAAAGCCTAAGCGGGGATGCTTACACCTTTTATGTGCACAAGAAAGGAGAGATGCCACAGAGTGCCTGAAACGTGGCTTCCTTAAAAATAGCCTCTTTTGGTTAAAAATATGCATAAATAGGATCTCCATGCTTTTTACGGTTATGTTGAAGCTCTGCCAGCGAGAGTGCAACACTCACAGCTCCCGCTGTGCTGACGTAAGGCTCCTTCTTAAATGAAAGAGCTAGCATGGAGGTTATTTACTAATGACTTACATGCTCAAGGTCTAATTTGTGAATGTTGTCGATGTAGAAACTTGGCAGGTGGACAGCGTTACTGCTTGTTTGTTTGCGGCATAAATCACTTACAAGGGTCTCAGGTAGTAGAACTTAACTAAGGAGAAACTACTTTGCTAATGCAGAAATTCATCACCCGCTGTACCAGTGCCACTTGCATGTTGATACTTAGAATAATAAATGGAGCCCCGTCACATGCCCCCCGTTCTCCTCCCCCACAGTGCCCTGCGTGACTGCTGAAAAACACTGATCATGGCTCCCTCCTCTGACTCTCACCGTGCAGGCATACCTTGTCCAAGTATGTGTAGCTCCAGGTTTTACCGTCGGCAAAGACCCGAGATACGACCCTCCCCTGGCCATCGTAATCCACTTTCTCGCTCGTCGTTCCCCGTTGCACACTGGCAATCTGGCCGGTGGACGAGTAGGTGACATTAACTGCCATCAGCTTGCTGCTGGGCAGCCAGAGAGTCGGGTGCCCTGACGTGTCATAGGCGATCCTCAGCAGGAATTTACGGTGGTCATCGTAGATCTTTTCTGTCTTTGTTGTTCGATCAAAGTCAACTGAAAGGAGGTTTCTGCCGTTAACCTGTTACAACACAAACAGGATGATAACATGAATCATCCTATTCCAACGCCAGTCCCTTATTACTCTTCAGAGGCCCTGCTATTGTTTAAACACCATTTATGATGATTGATTCTCTTTGTCAGTAAATTAATTTAGCAACTTCTTGGGTACAAGTGCAAGGTAGTAGATTAACAGCTCCTTTAAAAGGTTTCATTAAGCAGAAAGAGAAGCCTGGCATTTGTTCAAAACCTCTTCAATTAAATGCAAACTTAAGCAACTGATGAGAAAAATACCAAAATGTATTTGCTTTAAAGTTTGTTCAGAAGATATGAAGGTGGTCAACATGACATCACTGTAACTTACTCAGAGCCCCTCCCTCTGTAAGACACTGGAAAACAACTGCTTAGTAGATTAATCATGGCTCTATTAAATAAAAGCAGTAAATGTGACTCTGGCCCTTTGAAGAACAGTTAAGTAGAAGTTGGAACCCACATTACAGTAAATTATTAATGAGTCTAAATAGCAGGAGGTTACAAACATGATCATTGCTTTTGGCCCCATGCTGAAATGTCACAAGTTTTTAGAATGCCTTTCCCTTTAATAACATCTGGTTAACTGGCAGGGACCTCAGATGTTTCACTCCCGCATCTACAGGGTCCGACAATTATGCTTAGGGTACAGATCTAGCACGATGTTGTTGTAATTGGGTCTCCGTGTGGCTCTGTGCCATGTCCAGAATCTCTGACTACATTTGGCTATTACTGTCTGGGATCCAAGGCTCATACAGACCAGCACTTGTTACTGCAAAGGAAATGTGGCCGTGGTTACACTCTACTTTAGAAACAGTCTGCAGCGTACTGAGGACCCCCGAAGAGTGGATTTTCTGTAGCAAGACAGAAGCTTTCGGACGGTGATAGCCTGGATATACCAAAAATCTGCATCGACTACTGGACTGTTTTAAACATTAAACAGGAAAATCTGAATTTTACATGAGCATGTCTTAGCTAGAACTTTCGAAGTGGACAGCTGCAGCTGATCAGTTAGACACACATAAGCACACACACCACTTCCGCACCGACATCCACACCGACGTGTATGTGCACATACAATATGCATGTGTATTTATGTAAACTCTGGGATAAAACTCATCTGTGCATTCCATTATTGACATTAACCAAGCCCCATGAAAAGATACTCTTCAAGCTTAAACTTTTCCAATCAGCGGTTCAAGGGGAGTACCGTAATGTCCCTGGAAAGGTATGGAAAGGTTTACTAGAAAGTCCACGGAGTGAACTAGGTGATGTTGGAGGCAAAAAAGTACCCAGACAGACAGGGCACAGAAACTGAGAAAGGGTAGAGCCCTGGAGGGCAATCCGGAGATCTTAATGTTCCGGTTCCGTCCTTGCAGATCCAGCTGGTTGCCACAGCAGAGTCTGTTGTGTAAGACGTGCATGTGTGTGTGCATGTGGGTGCGCTGCGGGGAGGAGCCCAGGACTCAAGGAGCCCCATCTCCTTACCTAACAGGGTCTAGAGGCAGCATGACTTTGGGCTTTGGCGCCTCTGAAGCTGTCTGTCCATCTGTGAGGTGCTCGGGTGAGAGGCTGTAGGCTCTGTCAGCGATCTGACTGAATTCTGCCAGGCCAGCTAGAGGCTTTCAGGGCTTCCGTTCTCCCATGTGGAAACGCCTGCATGTTAGTCCCTGCCTTATGTGAATTCTGGGGAACTTCACGAGGTTAGGCTTGCAGAATGCTTTGCGGACCCCAAAGAGAAGCTGCTGGCTAATATTACAAATACCTACTTTAAAGCCTGTAGGAAGATTTGATTTGCCATCAGATGAACTCAACAGTCAACTGGCAGGATCCAGCTCTTCTTCAGCTTATCTTGGCACAAAATTTTTGATACCTTAGGATGAGGTTTTGCATGATTTAAATGGTTTCTTATGGTTCTTGGACGTATTTCTCCAATTGTGATTTAAAAGAAAAACCAAACAAAACCACCACCTCTGAATGTTTAGGTTTGCCCTCTTTTCTCCTTCTCTAGGTAATTCCAGGCTGGAGCCAGCCCCGTCGGACTGCCTGTGCAGTTTCCAAGGACTGTGCAGCCTGCAGGACTGCCCCATCTGTTTGCATTTTACTTTGTATTCATTTTAATTTGTACTTCAATTCTTTATTGCCTTCCTTAACCACACTTGCTCTCTGCAGTGCTGCCTCTGGTTAGAGCATGAGCAATCTGGATGGCAGACTGGACTGCAGGCCTGCTCCGACTGTGTGCGTATCAAAGGGAGCTGGGCAGAGAGCAGCGCGGGGCCCCTTCTTCCCACCGCCTGCACCCTGCCGCCCTCTTCTTCCTCTGGTCCGTGGATGCGGCTACGCAACACCAAAGCATCCGGGAGACAATCATGTGGTAGTAGCTGTGTGTGCCACCGTACCCAACATGCCGCCATATGGAAACATCTAGAAGCGTTGGGATACTGAACATCTGGGTACAAGTTTCAATTTTCCTTTTTATCCAGACAAACGCGGTGCAATGCCTTTCTTGCGTCCTCAGATCAGAGCAATGAGGAAAGAATTAGCATGTGGCTATTTCCCCCCACATTCCCAATGAGCTAAGGTTTCAACCATTTTCGGATTGTTTCCAGATACCAGTCATTGTTACTGAATATGTAAGATTTCAAAAGATACGAATAGACCTTTTGTTTCCTCTGTTCTTCCCATACACACCCAAACTTTCTCCTTCGGGTATTATAAACAAAGTGCAGAAGTCAAGGGACATTTCCATTCTAGGACACAGTCCTACTTAACTCTACCTTTACGAAATTATGGCAACGCTTCTACCGCTTTTTTTTTTTTTTTGGACAATCATAAAGGCCCGGCATTGTTCCATGTTCCAGTGGCCTTTTAAATGAATAGTTTTAATATAAAAAATATCAATTCAAATTGAATAGTTCATCTAAGATGAAAAACCTTAGATCATTACTGTACCTCCAGCTATATAAAAATGAACCCAAATGTTGTGTTTGGAGAAGAGATCACCATGAAGTCCTTTGTGATATACAGCATTTCTTTTAAGCAAGCATGGAAAGTCCCTATTTTCAAAGATCATGTCTAGCGTGACTGAGGAGATCACAGCATCCCTTGGATATGGGAACGGGGGTAGTGATCATCTTCCCTCCAGAATGCTTGAAAAACTAAGGTATAAAGATGTTAAACAACGCCTTTATGTTTAAAGACATCAAGCACCATCAGATTATATTCATGTATCTGGAATGTTATGGAGGGAAGTGAGGAAGGGCTGTCTCATTACCCAGTACACTCGGTGACAACATCACGACTCCCCTGTGTCCCTGTTGGAACATCAGCTGGTTGCAGACGGTTTTGTGTCTCTCTGCATGTCAGCCAGGGCTAACAGCATGGCACCATCCCACTCTGGGCTGCGCCGCTCGGCTCCGAGTGAGGAACAGCACAGCACGCGAACGTGACTCGCAGAATGAGCTTCAAGTATGCTATCATATGCGTGTAGGCCTTTAAAACACACTTTTGGCTTTCAAATTTTGAGAACTGTTTTTTTTAAGTGATTCACTAACTTTTTTTCCTGTAAGCATCTGAATTCTGGGAAAGTTTAGAAGATACATCTTTCTTTTCAGAATACCATAGCAGTTTTTTTTTTTTTATAACTGATGAAAGACTGGTTCCAAAGTCCATCACAGACAAAAAATGAGGAATATTTACCAAACATAAGAGAAAGACAAGAAATTTTTATGCCTGTGTCGTTTTTTTTTTTTTTTCCAACTTAGCCACAAACAAGTGAGCTCTGGAAATATCTAATCTTTAGTTTGCAATGCTTTCCCACATCTCTCACCATTTCATTTGCTTGTGACTCCTGACTGTATTTCCCTTTCTCCTTAATGCACGTTTCAGAGCAAATGCTTTCCATGTTGCTAGTTCCTTGTTAGTTTCCCTTTTCTACTCTTTGCTTTAAAAAACGTTAAACTACAATATCTGGTGTTCTCTTATAGATATGTCATCTACTTAAGAGTTACGTTTGTGTATAGCAGTCAAACATTTGCAAGGATGTGCTATCCATACAGCTTCTCCCTTGGATCTAGATGCAGTGAGATAATCCATATTTTAAGACTGGCTTTTCCTCATTCATTCACTGAATAAATATTTGAGGACCCACTCTGTGTCAGGCAGCTTGCTGAATTTAGGCAAATACCTTAAGAATGAAAAGAAGTTTCTGCTAGGAAATAATGAAAGGTAAGCGAGGGAATGTTCTGTTTCAGGGAAGGGTGGGAAACAGGTGAGTACCGATCCAGTGTGCCTCGGGGGCCTTTGGTCCTTCCCCCACCCCCCCACCCTTCACTTCTCTTCCCTATTTTGGCAGACTCCGTCCGGTCCAGTCTAAGCCAGGTTTTCCTATCGTCACTCTCTCCCTAGAATTTCTCCCTTAGAACCACAGAGGAATGAAATTAACAGTCAGAGCCGGCACATCCAATCTTATCTTAAAAGAAAGAAACCCTCCCTTGTGATCTTGGCACTGTCTCTATGAGAGCAATCACACCTATCAGCTGGAAATCTCCTCCCAGTGTGGCTGAACAGGCTACTTTAAAAACAGGGCATTCTCTGAAGCGACTTGCCAAGGCCATTGTGGTGGGCCCACTATTTAGAAGAAACTAACACCCATGCTTGTGCGCTCTTGTCTTTTCTTCCCCCAGAGTGAGGTATCTGCTTCATTTTGAATCAGGCAGAGAACCAGAGACGCAAGATAGGATTTCATCTTTTCCTCTACTCTTCCTGATTTCTTTTTATGCCTAGAAAAGCCATGTTACAAAGAAACAGAGGACACGCTTAGACAGAGCTTGTCTCAAAGAAGAGAAGGCAGCATATTCTGCGGCCAGTTTCCGGGCAAAGCGTGTCCCACACTCTTCCCTTGTTCTCCTAACCAGTGTGCTAAAGGGCTCTCTCTTATTTACCTGCTGCGTGGATATAAATGCCTAACGTATGCCTATGTGGTAGAGAGTCTCGGGGTTAGGGTTAGGGAATATATAATCATGCCTTTTATTTGTAGAGTACTTTCACATTGTCTCATTTGATTCTGTAACAATTGTGTGACGTGGAGGCAGGGCAGGGTAAAACTGTATTTATCCGTTATCTGTATCCAGTGAATTGTCTATGCTATGAAGTGTATGTCAATGACCTATATAATGTCTATGTTATAATGTCATAATGTTATGATATTATCTTGATAATATATTACTTATATTCTATATGGATTATCATGATATACATAAGGAAACAGGTTTCAGACATGTTATGATTTTCCCATAAGGTTTATTATTAGCAAAAAGTGGAGCCTGATCTAGAACCCTCGTTTTTGGAATTCTAGTTAGTGCTGTGTCTTCTCTGGTATGTGGAATAAGGAGCACAAATGTGAGCAGCATCTTTGTATCTTTTGGTGAAGGAAGTCCTGTGTCTGAGGGTAGGTGTGACTCTGTGCGTGTGCGTGCACAAGCACACGTGTCCATGTACACCATGCCCATTATAGGGAGAGCTGGATAAGATAGAGCCTGTGAACTAGCTTCCAGATTGCAATGGCCCAAGGAAGCAGGGGTCCTGGAAAGAAGTAGTAGATGGGGGCAGCCACCACTGATTCCTAGGTTCAGGAGTGGGAAAGGCGGGGGAGCTGGAGTCTACTCGGTCAACAGGCCAACCCTAGGAAAGGGACCGGAAGCAAATCAGGAGCTGGCTTCCTCTCCTGTCACTTTACCTTCACCTCTACTGTGCTCTTCCCTCTAGGTTCTCTTGCTTTTCCTCCTCACTTCTCTCTCTAAACAAGCCCCCCTCTCCAGTGTCCCCTAGCTCCTGCCTGCCACAATTCCGGAGCCAGGTGGCTTGGAGTTAGGGCATCCTGGCTCCCGCAGCCTGGGAGATGGGGGAGGTGGGAGCATACAGCACTGGTTCCAGAAGGTCATGTATTTAGAGTCCCAAACACCTGCCTTGAAATTGAAGTGACATCAGAATGTAACCTGTAAGTTGGATACTGGCTGTATGTGATCCACTGATCCTTTATTCCTTTATTTCTGTTTCTTGGAAATAGCCAGAGATAATATATAGTAGCTGTTTCTTACTCCCTCAAGGATTGTCAAGGTAAATCATGTGGGCCTCTTATAATAATAATTTAACCATTTTTGGTGCAGGAAAAAGGACATTAATGGTATGCTCCATGTTCTGTTCTCTTTCCTTGACTTTCAGTCTTTTTAAATGGCAAGGGGAAGTATTTTTAGGAACAGTTGTCTCCATTCATCTGATAAACTAAAATCTGTTTGCTAATAGAAAGAATGAGCCAGGTTCAGTTTACAGTGTCTGAAGGTGGTTTCGTGTAACCTGTGTTTTAGTACCTATCTATGTTGTCTCTACCAAACAGCTGTCATAAATCACAGCTTGCTTTCTCGATATATTTGGTTCACAATGGGAGGGAGGGGAAAATAAAAAACACCCAACAAGGTAAGGTGGAGAACATTTTGCAAAGATCAATTACACTAGCATAATCAGAAACATCATTGCATTTCTCATAAAGACAATATAAATCAATAGCGAGGAGGCAGCACTTAGGTTCTGCCACTGATATTCTTCCACGTGAATATATTCGCTATACGCTAAAAATATTGAGAATGCAAAGAAAGAATCCGCTTTTCAATGTCCAGCCCATCTCTTTATGATTTGGAAAACTTTCAATATTTAAGCTCTTATTTATCCTCATCCCATTAGGAAGCCATCAATCTTTACCGAGTGGCTAAAGGAAAAGTATAAGATGATCAAGATAATATTAGTAAAACAACAATGGACTGACATCCAGGCTAGTTGGGATTGTGCTCCATGCAACTGCCTGATTTCTCAAGGAAGAACTGATTTTTAACCACAGGCACACTGAGGAAAAGCTTTTCTCCAACAGTTGGCTTCTACTAAGAATGACCTAATGGCCTGACGGCTGGCTACACCTCGTGCAGGCAGGGAAGGTGCCGCCCTGCATGTGGTTCTGGGCAGATGAGGATGAGGAGGGGATGAGCGCTAGGCACCCCCTTGGGGACACGGACGGCTGGGTGGCCGTCGCCTACTCTCTGACACTGGCTTACCCGAAGCTTCCGACCAAAGACGTTGACTTTTCCTTGGGCTTGCTCTTTCCGGAACCTCCACTCGACCAAATTTTGACCGTTTTCACCAGGAAGACTCATGTTTCTTTTGGCAACCGTCGGATTAGCCGTGCCGGCCAGAACGTGGGGCTCCGTCTGGTAGTGTGAATCGAGGCCACTGGCGTAGATGATTCTAAGGGAGCCATCATAACCGATCTGATAGCTGTTTCTTAACTGATCTGAAAGACAAGGAGCCGAAAACAGGAACTACAGATATGGATTAAACACTCGGTTGGTCCGTGCAGTTGGAAGTGATACACATTTCTTAAAATGTTGACCGAACTCCATGTATAGGGAAACAAAAAGTACCGAATGCTGTCCTTTTAAAACATATCACGACAACTTTGATTTCTGGCGTTTCGTGCTGGATAGTAAAGGCAGGCTTCAGGGGAATTTAAAATCCTTCTCCACTTGAGATTTCTTTTTCTCGTTTGCCTGATGGAATGCATGAAGGGTCATTCTCCACAGATGTGCCAGGAAGGCTCTGCCAAGAGCCACGTACGTGCTCCCTTGGGAGGCTGGTGTGTCGCGGCAGTCCCTGCCAGGGTCTCAGAAGAACCCCCCTCCCCTACACCCATCCCTCCCTTATTTAAAATCTTTTGCAAAGATTTCATATCCATACGTTGCATACCAAAAAGATAAGACGATATTTCCCTGAAACTGGACTTTTACAAAAGCAAGCCATCTTCTATTTTGTAAAAAACCCCCTCTTGCATTATAGGCTATTGCCTCAAATTAAAATTTTTCAATGATATCGGACCATTTGGGGAAGAAAGGAATTCAAGCAATATTAATTTTAGATGATTGCAGAGATTACTTGAGAGAACTGGTAAAAATAATGAATCAAAGAAGCTGAAGCTTAACTCAGATTTGGTAATTATTCTTAGAGTTGTGACCTCAACAATTGCAACTGTCACGGTAAACAGGCTTTTCCAAGATTATGTCAAAAAGGAATATGGCAGGAGGTTCCGCCACGAATATATTGGATATGGACTGAATGGGAAAAAAAAAAAAAAAGCCCAGCTATTACATAAACGGGCACGCAGAATTTGGTGTCAAATTTCCAGGGATCACATCATATGTGGACTGAAATGCAGCATCATGTGCGGACTCAGAACATGCTCTGTCTCAAATGACTGTAGTTCCATGGCCCTGAAAAGGACCCACTCCCCAAAACTGCAGCAGATGACTCACAAAGGGTCTGATGATGCACGTGAAGAGCTGCAGTGAAGTTGCTTTTGGAAGCTGGAGTATACGTTACGTGATCTAAGATACATAGATATCACAAAACAAACAGTACCTATAGACACGGGGCTGTTTCACCAACATCTCTAGAGGTTTATGTTTTCACCCTCCCTTTTCTGGCTCATCTTAGAACATGGGTCACCACATCCTATGGGGGGTGCTAGTGGCATTTAAGGTTACCTGTCCCAAATTAGGCTTTCATGTTTACCTTGAACCATGGTGTAGAAGGAGTCGATCGAGGACAGATTTGAAGTGATGCTGACATCCTCTTCACGGCTGGATGACTCGATGTCCACCGTGATGGCCTTGTCCATGTCCCCGTGCAGGTTTGTGACGACTCCAGTTGGAAATGTAACATTTGTCAGACGACCTTCGCTGTCATAGCTACATAAAAGAGGCATCGACTCAGTGTTAAAGAGCAAACAGCAGGTTCTCCTTACATATAAATACCAGGGGCGGCAATATCAGCTGTAGAGATTTGGAAGGATATTTGCCTTTGTGCATGAGCCATGCAGAGTGAGGACTTCAAACGTGCTTTGAAGTAATCAAAAGCCTGTTTAAAAGAGAAAAACCTCACCGGCGAGAGCAAGAGTAAACAGAAGAGGTCTCCACCTCAGCATCTTCTTCTCTGAAGTGTGACCAAAATCCTCCTGCACATCCAATTTGCTGTTTCAAAGGGAACATATTTACTGATACTAAATTCCTTAGTCTTCGCGGTATTTTCTACAAAGTAGAATTAACTCACTGTTATATCAGTTTTTAAAGTTTTACTAACTTACGCCCTCCACGGAATAGGAGTGCTATAGGAATACATGAAACTTTGTAAAATGGTTTGCATACATTGTATACAATAAGTAAAAATATTCTTGTAGTAGCTTGTGACATCTTCAACAAATTAATACAATAAAGCCATTTAAAGACTTTCTTATTCCTCATTGTTGACGTACTTTAGAACGGTAAAATGGCACCTAAACGTTGGCGGGGTGGTGATACTCTATCTCGTCTGGACTGACGTCGTAGGAGTGAGCTCTTGAATGATGATTTATTATGTTTACTGAAATGTGATGTACTGTTTCCTGACAATTAATGATTAGTTGCTTTTCCAATTATACACTTACTTTTTTTTAGCATGTAAATAGAAGGGGGACATATGATTAAAATGTTAGGATATATTTTAAAAAGCTGTCCTATAATCATAAATATGCATCATTGATATAACATTTTAATAAAGAGTTGATTTTTGGGTGACTTTTCTACTTGTGGTGGCACCAGAGAAAATTTCAGAAGTGACAGGGCGGTTTGAAGAAAGAAAAAAACAGATCGCAAATTCCAGCACACGTAAGCCCGGATTTCAGCTTGATACCAAGGCTGTTCGTTAAGAAAAGGCCTAAGTGAGATGAAGACTTGCACCACGTCCTACTTAAAATAAGCCCAGACGCAGAACGGTAGAGAAAGGGTCTTCTTAGCGAAGCAAGTTCCCAGGAGAGGGGAAAAAAGGTGGGGACGATCCCAATAAGAGGTGTAAATTTGGGGCAACAGGGAATAAGGGGTAGAAAGAAGAACTTAAATGATACTTCGCAATAAAAAGAGAGGGTTTTAGAGGGTAAAACAAGTAGTTTTGGAAACTGTGGTTAGTACTTAAGGAGAAGATTCTAGGTAATGAAGGTAGAGAAGATTCAGCAAGGGCAATGGCATGGTAGAGACAGGAAGGAAGGAAGGAGGAGAGAGGATGTCTGCTCTGGGCCCAGGGAGGAGGTGATCCCATTAATTCCAGGGGGACAGCATCAGTCAGACCGAGGGTCTGACTGACCCGATCTGACAGTCTGCCATGCTGCTTAGCCAGCGGCACGCGTGGGCACTCAGGAGAGACAAGCCAGCAAGGGAGAAGCAAAGAGAAAGGAAATGCACCGTTAAGTGTAATCATTGTTTGGACCCATAAAAGGCAGAGCTGAAATAAAAAGAGCAACCTCCTTCCACTCCCCACCAACCCAAATACCCCTAGCAGATAAAGACATCAATGAAAGAAATCCAACATGGTTTACTGCTGTCATTGCTCCTTAAAAGAAATTACTGCTCGTGGAGAAACAAACAAGGCATAGCTTTGTGTAGGCAGAATTATTGACAAAACCAGCTTCAGGCCGAATCTTCACCTGGACAGAAATCTGGCATCTCTTTACATTTCTCGCAGGCTCTTGTGTTTTGAAGAAATGCTCCTACACAGAAGGTAGTTCAGTACCGCGTTCTCCCCCACCTCCCTCCCGTTTTACAGGTGGAAAAATGAAAACACGCCGTGCTCCAGTGACTCGATCAGGCTCTCATGGCGTCCAATGACTGGGCCGTAAAGGGGCTCCCCTGCGCCGGACCCCAGGTCCAGGATCCTTCCATAAATCACAGAGGCTACTGCTTTTTATAGAAGAGCCACCTGCACGCACTTTGCTGATTCATTCTTGCTGCCGTCAGTCACCTGCCCTTTCTGACCCGTTTGCTGGCTTATGTTTTCTAGCTCCATTCTAATCTAAGTGGGAACGTCACCTTCCTCCTGCAGAAAGCATTTCCGCAACCTTTGCCTCTGCTCTTTCATCGGCTGACCACGTGCGCCACGTCCTGCTGGGCAGGCATTCCGTATCACGGGATGCTGAGCACATTTGGGACAGACCATGGGATGCCGCACATCCAGACTCTAACCTATTAGCCTTTGGTTCTTCAGAAAATACAAATACAAGTAGCCTTTGTAGGTGGTATACTCAGAATGACACGGGGGTAAGCCGGCATCTTAGGGGCCCAGCTTCCTGGTTGGGCCCTGAGCATCCCGAATTTGTGCCTTCCGAGCAGGGGCTGGGTCGACATGAAGGTGCAGGCAGGCTGAAGTGCTTGCACGAGGGAGGTCAGGACGGGTGCCAGGGCGGAGGGGCCCTCAGAGGTGTGGCCTTCCCGGTCACCCTCACAGGTCAGGCAGCGAGCATTTCCCAGACTTGCCAATTTTACCAACCAGGGGAAAAAACAAACAAACAAACAAACAAAAAACAGGGACCAACAGAGCATTTTTGTCTAAAGAAGCAATACCTGTTACCCCCTTCCTTTCATAAAGAAAAGGCCATTGAAGCAAACCAGAGGTAGAAAGGACTTAACTTCGGGGGTGAGAGACCGTTGTTTAAAAGGAGTAAGTAAAGCTTGGTGAAAAAATTCTCCACATCGTTTATGTTTTCCATTTCAGCATGGATCAGTGAAAACTTTTCCCATAGATTAGCACCCATGTCAGGAGAACCAAAAACAAGATGGATGAGAGGCCCTGACATTAATTACCAGGGGACTCTGGAGAAGGGCCGGGAGAAGAGAAGTAGTCCAGGATGACATTCAGAAGTGGCCGGTGAACCCTTCTTTACCTCGGCAAGAGAAGAGAAAACAAAGCACCAGCAGATGTCCAACTGTACTCTGGAATGCTCCGACCCTCCGTACCAAAGAGGCCTTCCCATCAAATATATGCCTCAGGACATGTTCTCTGCTTCTGTACAACTCTGTGGCTCGAGTTAATGTTGCTCGGCCTTGGTGGGGAACCAGCCCTGCCCAGCTTGTGTATCAGACATAGCTTTCTTTTATTAGCCTTTTGAACTTACAATGCAATAGGCTCTAGGGAATTTGACTAGAATATCAACTTCAGGCTCTCCATTCCACTCCTCTGGTCTCAGTCTCATAGCTTCAAATTCATAACACAGCACATTCTTTTTGCTCCTGATTGCTCCTCTTCACAAAAGACCCTCACTGGGTAAAGACAGACTCCCTCAGGCTCTTCATGACCTTCTGCTCTTTCACTGATGGGATGCCCTTATTTGATGTTTATTTGTTCGTCTGTAATTTTGATTGCATTTTTGCCTAGACTTGCTGTTTTAGCCTTTGTGGTGTACTTCTAAATCTTTTTAAGTTTCCTAAGCCGCACGATTATCGACCAATGCCCCAGAGAGTTAGAGCCTCAGCCCTTGTCAGTTGAAATGCTGTATTCGTCCTGACGTGAAATTTCCTCCCTCCCCCTTGTAGACGGAGGGTCCCACTCGCCATTTTTCCCTTCCCCATCTCTCAGATACCTCCGTTCCCATTCGCACAGCCACCCTCGATGTAAACACGCGTCTTCTTGCCCCTCCCCACAGTCACAGATAGCGGATTAATCTTCTGGAACACCACAATTCTAGTACTTCCCTGCTTACACATCTTCTGTGGCTCCTCAACTGAGAGAAAAATCGCCTGAGTCAGACTGTTACCGACACAATGTCAATAGACTATTGATATTGCAAATTTATTCAAGTGGAGACAATGTGCCCTTCTGGAAAACTTGCTTTAAAACTCAACAACAGGATTATCTGTTGTCTTCCGTGTTTTCCCATAAAATGGCCTCTTTCGTCAAATATTATGTTTTCTAAAGTTATCTTCTGCTTTTGAGAAAAATCTGTGTAAATGAGAGTAGGGCTTCGGAGAAGCAAGTAAACCCGAGAAGAGAAGGAATGATCACTCTGGAGAGGTGGGGCTGTTTTGGGGGGCGGTTCGTTCTTTACCCCTTACATACGCTGAGTGTGGGCTTATGATTCAGCCTGACACTGAGCTGGTCTTTCTCAAAGATGAGCCAGGCTTATGTATTTACTCATATAATGTTGGCGATGCCCCTCTCCCAAACCTTTATTCTCTTCACCTGTAGAAGAGTGAAGCTAAAAATGTATGCTTTTAATCAACTGGTTTTCCAGCCCTTAACCTGCTCCGAGAAGGTTAAGACAGCAGGAGATGTTGGCTTGAGGACATTCTGGAGACCTCTGGCGGGGATAAATGTTCCAGTTAAGTCCGAGTTAAGACTGGCCCTTCCCTGTCTTCCCGGGGCCATCCCAGCACTCTGGGGGCTGCTTAGTGAGGGCACATCCTCTGGTTTCAGGCTTGTGACACAGTAAGGATGACTACGAAGGAGACTTACCCAACCTGCCTTGCTCCCCACTGTCCCCCTGATACAGAGGGAGAATGTTCCCTTCCAACTACTAGAGTTCCTTAGGTTCAAATTTCCTTCCATAGTTTAACAGCCAGCAACACCCCCGGCCAAAAAAATCCTCCCCTGATCTCGCCATCTGTTATGGCAATACTTTTTTTTTTCACAGTGCTAATGTAGCACAACATCTTATCTCACTTCAGTGCAGGAAAGCAGAATTACTAACCCTCTCGTAGCAAAACGGTGCACAAATCCTTCCTCGATCCTCATTCCTAAATGAAGGGCGTGCACAACAGCAAAAACCGCAAAGTGGAGCCTGATTTAAACTTCTAATGGTGGACTCACTGGGAACCCTAATAACAAGACTGTGATTTGTAACACTGTTAACAGCCAAATAATTTACATTGACCTATTCTAGAAATGA